CTTCTTCCTACCAACCTTTCGCCAAACACCTAGAACAGACTGTCTGCCCACCTTCACAGCACAAGTTACTCCAACGCCAATGCCGGGGACACTTCAGGCCCCAGTTTTATGGGACCTTCTGTGGCTTTAACACAGGTGATGGGTGCTTCCTAAAAGTCCTCCGTTGCTTCTCTTTATCTTCAGCCCTTAGTCTCAAGTCTCCCTCCACGCACACCCCCTTTACTCTGTCTGAACAGGCTCCCCCTCCTTGATGGATCTGAGGCCACCTGCACGGCGTGGACTCCCACAGCAGCATCTCTACCCAGTCGACAGCCTGCTGCTCCCTGAAATCTCCATGAATCCTCATTCCACAGGCACCTTCATCTCACATGCTCAGAACGTAGCACTGGCTCCCTGTACACCCGCCCCATCCTAACCCTCGGGTGTCCTATGGGGTTTCCCACAAGGGCTACTGGTGCTTCCGCCTCCCCCGTAGGCAGCCCTTCAATTCTGTGTCCTAAATCTCTTTCATGTCCACATCCTCTTCCACCTCCGCCTTTACTGAAGCTCTGCACCTCTCATTAAGACTATCCTAGCAGTTCCCACCTCGTCTCTTCCCCCAACCTCCCCTCTCACGCCCACCCTTCCCACAGCTGTCAATATGCTAAGGGAATGTGCTCTCTCCTCCCAGATGTGGGCCAACAGCTCCTGCAGCTTCAAGTCCAAGCTCCACCCACACACCAGGCTCAGGACCTGCTCCTTCCCCTGCACGGAACCCACCGTCCTGTGCACCCCAACCTTCCACCTGACACGCCAGCCAAACTCAACTACCCGCCCTCGTCCTGTTCCTGTGGACCTGGAGAGCCCTTCCCACACTGGGGCCACATAGCGACGACCCTTCCACACTCAGGTGGTGATTCCTCTGTGAGGTCACCACTGGCACTCAAGAGTGGAAAACGCCTTTTCTGCCACTTCCACACAAGGATTATGCCGTTTTCACATGGTATAATTTTATGTCTATCTTCTCAACACATAGCCAGTGTTCAACAGGGTTTATTAAGTTAATAAACAGATGGCAAAGTGTCCAAAGTAGTTTAAAACCTTTCTCTATTTCCCCAAAACCATTAAAAAGTCTCCTTTTATAGATTCATCAGGACTTTTAAGAGCTGCCCAGACAGTGTTGCTCAATGGTTGGGCCTTCACCTATGAACCAGGAGATTGTGGTTCAATTCCCAGTCAGGTCACAAGCCCGGGTTGTGGGCTCAATCCCTGGTGCTGGAGGCAGTCAATCAATGACTCTCTCATCATTGATGTCTCTCTCTCTCTCCCCCCCTCTCCTTTCCTCTCTGAAATCAATAAACACATATTTTGAAAAAAAGAACTTAAAAAAAATAAAAGACGACAAAAGCTATTCCCTCTTTTGCCTTCATGTGCTCACTCCCCGGCTGACTCAGAGACAAGGCGCAGCTTGAAGAGCTACAGGCAACCAGGGGTCTGTGGTTGCAGGTCTTCCCTGAGACTGTAGCTTTCTGTCCTACACACTGTAACAGACTCTCTCCAAAGACACTGGCCCTACTGCCCATCAACTTGTTCTGTAGCAAAAGAATAAACTAGGAATAAATCAGCTAGAATTTATCTCTGCTAGATTTGGGTTCAGATATGAAGAGACATTTATTTCAACTCAAGCAATAATTAAAACAACAGAATATGTACTATCAGGAAACTAACCATTCGTACTGCAAAGGTCTTCCTTGGCCCAGGCCAGAAGGGCAGGCACACACTGAGCAATGAATTCTTTCTTGTCGTCTTCGGGCAGAAATGGACAGAGGCTTTGGATGGTGTGCATCTTGCCTTCTGTTAGGGGGAAAAACCTGTTTACAGAAAAGGTGTGAATTATATTTGCCCTAATATGAGCTATTTCAGAAATGCCTGGCTCAGACTATTCAAATGCGCTAGTAATTCTACTGCATAAAATAACTGCATGAAAAGAAGGAAACTCCGGAGAGAGACTGGCAATCGCTGATTCTGGGTGCTGAGAATGCACACACTGCACCGTGCTGCTTCTCTCTCCTGTAACGTGTTTCTAATTTTTAGAACGAGCATGCTCCCCTCCCCCCATGGGTGGCTCTCTGAGCTGCACACGGTGCATGGGTAAGCTGTCTGTGAGAGCCCACTGAGTCCATTCACACAGCACCGCATAGGTGCGCAGAGCTGGGCTCATTTAGATAATGAGGTCACACTAAACATACTATTTTCTTATTTGCCACTTTCATACTTGAATACAAAGTATATAAGTTGTTCTCTGTCACTTATATACTCTGTAGATTTTTCTATCAGAACACAGAGGTACAAATTATTCTATTTTAAAACAACACAACTTTAAAAATTAGAAACAAAAATATTCCACGCTATGGATGTATCACAATCTAACTACTTCTCTGTTAGTGGACACTTAGGTTTTACTCCCCACACTTTTGCTCTCATTTAAATAACGCTGCAGCAGATGTTCTGAGCACACGTGCACACACCTGTTCTGGCGAGATTCCTAGAAATGGGATTAGATCAAAGGATCTGACTGTATTGTACTCTGGTCATTTCAAATTGCTTCCCAACAAACACACACACACACACACACACACACACACACACACGTTATTATACTTTCACCAGAAATGCACACAGGAGTGTTTGCTGTGCACTCAATGAATCTTTTAAATTCCTGGCAATACGGTCGATAAAATATGCTTCTCTTAATCTGTACTTCCATCATTACTAACAAGGCAAATCCTTTATACTTTACATTTCACCTGTGAATTACCTCCTCAAATCCTTGACATATTTTTCAATTTGGATTATTTTACTAATTAATAGAAACTATTACATAATATGGGCATTAATTCTTTATTAATTTGCAAATGTTTTCTCCCATTTTGTCACTTGGCCTTTAATTTTGCTGTATTTTTGTCATACAGAAGTTTTGTTTTTTAAAAAGTATTTAATTCTGGAGTGTGAATACAGGGTATATGCAATGCGACCAAACTATGCACTTAAGAATGCATGTCGCCCTAACCGGTTTGGCTCAGTGGATATAGAGCGTCAGCCTGCGGACTGAAGGGTCCCAGGTTCGATTCCGGTCAAGGGCATGTACCTGGGTTGCGGGCACATCCCCAGTGGGGAGTGTGCAGGAGGCAGCTGGTCGATGTTTCTCTCTCATCGATGTTTCTAACTCTCTATCCCTCTCCTTTCCTCTCTGTAAAAAATCAATGAAATATATTTTTTAAAAAAATGCATGTCATTACTAATTAGTTCTAATAGTTTGTTAGTTAATTCCCTACACTTTTATAATCAGAAAAAAATTTAAATTATGCTGGATAAAACAGCCAATATCAAAAGATCATAAACTGCATTCACTTACATCACAGTCCTAAGTGATGCAGTTAGAGAGGGAGGACAGAGACTGTGGAGGGATGAGGAGTGGGATGCAGGAGTGGCCGTGCTTATGAAAGGTCACACAAGGGTTCTTATGATCAAACT